CTCCGAACGCTTTGCCTTTTGTGATGCCAATCGCTCATCACTTGTATTGCACGTGCTTTACTGCTTTCTCCTTGAAATCTCGCCACTGGTTTGTTTTGGCTCAACTCAGAAGCCACAGACCCCTCCTGTTGCAGGTATCAACAGCACACCACGAGCAATCTGGAGCAACACGCTTGGAGCCTGGAGCACGGGCCGCAGCAGGGTGCTGCTTGTGCTGAAGGAGCTGCAGATTTTGCCAAGTAGGGGAAAACATTCAGCTGGAGCATGGTATGTGCCAGGGGGTGCTTACAGGGGGGGAGTGCAGTGTGAGTCGTAGGGTGTCGCCGCGCAGAGGCAAGAGTCGTGTCTCTTGCCCTTGCTTCCGTCACTCCCCTCCTGCTGCTTCTGACCATCACTTGTTGCACCGCCTCTGTGTGTGTGCGTGTCCCTCTCCCCGTCCGTGCGTGTGCTTCATGGCCTGCGAGACGGACGGGAATGGCAGCGAGTGGACGGGGAATCGACACGGCTGCCGTTGCTGGCTTGCACGAGAGACAACCGTCCTGCGAGGAGAAAGGGGAGCAACCTGGAGCAGCACGCCTCAAGTGAAGGGGTGGTACAGGAGTGGTACGTGCCAGGGGGTGCTTGCAGGGGGGCCGTGAAGTGAGTCGCCGCGCAGAGGCAAGAGTCGTGTCTTGTTCTTGTCTTTGCCACTCGCCTCCTCTCCTGCTGCTCCTAACCCTCCCTTGTTGTGCCACTTCTGTGTGTGTGTGTGTGTGTGTTTCTCTCTCCATGATTGTGAGGCGCTGGGGGGGGGGGGGGGGAGGAAGGGGAGATGGGGGACGGGGAGAGGAGGGGGTGGGGTGGGTGGGCGGCGCCTGTCCTTGTGTGCGTGTGCGTGTGCATGCATGTGAGTGAGTCTCTCAGGCTCCAAGCCGTGGAGTGCGTTGTGCTTCGAGCTCTTGCCTGTGCGTCGGTGGGATGGGGACAACAAGCTGCTTTCCGTTCCTTGCCTCTCCAATACAAGAGGTAACCAACAGTGAGCATGCAGCAGCAGGGCGAATGCATCCTCCGTTGCATCTTGTCTCAGTCCCGTCTCCGGCTGCCATCTGCCATTTCTTCTGCCATGTCGGTGCGCTTTCACATCTGCAGCCTCTCATCCACCCGCTTCTCCTCTCCTTGCTCTCACGCCTCTCTTCCTTGCCATCCTTCCTCCCCTCTCTCCAGCACTCAAAGGGGAAGTGGATGCAGCAACTGCAGGATGATGGTGAGTGGAAAATATCAACTGGTATGCCACTTGCGCATTCAGCTTGTTCATACATTCTCCTGTGCCCTTGTGCCTTGTCTACCATTTCTCCACGGTGTTAATGTGTGAGAGGACCAGATCAACTGCCATGCCACTTCGCCATTCTCATTCTTTCTCTCCTGCCCTTCTGTCTTGTCTGCCATATATTTACAGTACCCATACGTCTCTGCTACTCTGTTGCCAGATGTTCATGCCCCTCTGCTCGGCGCTCAACTCCTCCTGTCCTGCCCTCTCCTCTTCTCTGCTCTCCTCTCTTCCATCACCACCTATTTTCCTGCACCAGCACCATGGACAGCAGCACTTGAAGTTGCAGCAGCAGCAGGAGCAGCAGCAGCAGCAGGAGCAGCAGCAGCAGCAGCAGCAGCAGGAGCAGCAGCAGCAGCAGCAGCAGGAGCAGCAGTGGCGGTGGCAGCAGTAGTTGCAGCATCAACGGCCACTGCAGTGGTTGCAGCTGCAGCAATGGAGGGGTAATTACAGTCTACACTATCGCTTGCGTTCTTGTCTTGACTCCAGTACCTTACTCGTTTCCCGTCATCCTTCTCCTCAGACCTCCCTCCCATCTTTCTGTATCCAATATTTATGATGCCCGCGCCTCCTGCCCTCTTCCTTCATCCACGTCCTTGTATCCTGCTGTTGTTGTGGCCTTGTTTTTATCCCCTCTCCATGTCCCATTGCTGTCTCCGTCAGCATCCGTGGGGGAAGCAGTGGCAGCAACAGCAGTGCCAGCGACAGCATCCGTATTCTACATGGTACATGTGATGGGAGATTCTGCTAAGAGATGGGGACTTACGTGGTACATTTCTCACTTGATGCTCGCCTTTCAATGGCCATCTGACGTGAGTGCAATACACACCTAATCTTTGCTGTCTGATCATCTAAGTGGCTCCTCCTCTCTCTTTTACTTCCCTCCATGTCCCATTGCTGTCCCGTTGGCAGCTTCTCGTGAGTGGCTCTTCTATGGTGAAGTGAAGTGCAGGGCGAGGGAGAGGACATGTGGGGTGGGGCAGGGTGGGGTGGGGTGCCGCTTGCTGGTGGGCGGGCTACCAAGAGCTCCAGATGAGCTACCACTTCTGTTCTTAGCTGTGCTTTGGTTTGCTTGTCTGTGCGTGTGCCAAGGTTTGCTCAGGTGTGGTTAGGTGTGCAGGTTTTCTTAGGTGTGCTGTGCTGTGCCGGGATGGGCCTGCATGTTGTGGAATAGGTGGGTGGGGTGGGTAGCCTGGAAGGCGTCTGGGCACAAACACCCAAGCAGGACGGAGAGTCCTCCTGCAAGTGCTGTGCCGTGCCACGCAGGCAGCCCGCACAGTGACGAGGGGAATGTGGAGATGCAGAGCACTGAACCAGGAGGATGCTGCATGCAGCACGATGCACTTCCAGAAAAAACTACCACCAGCAAGTCATGAGACAGGCAAACCCCTCGCACAGAATTGTGGATCGCAGGGATGACAGGAAGCAGGGTAGTCACAGATTGCGCACGACCTGCAGTACACAAATGGTCAGATGTCACGGCCACCAGTCAATCATCCAATCCAAGCAGCCAACCAGTTAACCAACATTCCAGGCTACCAGCCAACCAGCCAACCAGCCTGCCTGATCCATCCAGAAACCCAACGCTAAAGCCAATCAGCCAGATCCTTGCATCGCATCCTGGCCCCAAGATTCAGCAGTGCATCTCTCCACTGGCAGTGGGTCCTAGAGAATTCTGAAATCAATATACGCACTCCATGATGGCCCATGACTGCATTTGCTACTGCCACATAAGAGTCACCAAACAGACCTTATGCCTACAATTGGTGGTGTGGTGTGTGAGGGATAAGTTTGTCGATTGTAGCTGCAATAATTTTGCATTGCTGGTCCATTGCATGTTGTCGGCAGGAGTACCTCAAGTGGATGAACAGAACCAGTGTTCAAGTAAATTGTTTCTTGATATTGTGTAAGTATATGATAAATATTTTAAAAGCTATAACATTATACACTCATAACGAACGTACCGCTGTGTCCCATGCTTTCACTGTTGCTCACCTCGCTCTCCCTTGGTCATGTCGGCTTACCTTACCTTTTCCACTTTGTCAGTGATCCTCACCATACAAGTCTCGCAATTTCTTCTGTCCCGTGAGCCGTCGTCGTTTTCTTCGTCTGCAGCTTACGCGCAAGCCAGGCGTCATGCTCGGTGCCGTTAAGTAGTCGCGATACCGTCGCGATCTCGGTATCGCGTCGGCAGATTCGAGGAGGCTGCAATGGCGGCGCGGCTCGCTGCTTCCGCGGCCGTCGCAGCCTCGTTTCGTAGAATTTTGCTTCCCGGCGTCGTAGCGCCCTCCCACCCCGCCGTCGCAGCGTCCTTTCGCCACGCTCTGGCCACCAAAGCCATCGCCGTGCCACCGCCGTTAGTCGCATGCGCGGTGCTGCATCGCGCCTCCCCCGCCGTCGATTCGTCTCGCGGGGAATCCAATCCGTTCTGCCCGACCAGCAGTCGTGCCTTCGTCGCGCTCCCTCACTTCTCCGCTGCTTCCGCCTCTTCCGTCTCTTCCGCCTTCCGCCCATCGCTTTCGTCCGCATCCCCTTCGTTACCTCCGTCTGCACTCCGCACATCAGCGCACATCGCCAATCGACCTACCGTCCATATTTTCTCTTCACCACCCTTGAACTACCAACAGCCTTGTCTCCCGTCCTCCTCTCCCTCCTCTCCCTCCTCTCCCTCCTCTCCCTCCTCTCCCTCCTCCCATTCCTCGCCCTGCTCCCTCTCCTCTCCCTCTCCTCTCCCTCCTGCCTCTCGCCCCGCCACTCCCGCCGCGCTTTCCCCCTCCCCCGCTTCCTCAAGCCCCTTCTCCACGTCGTCCGCCTTCCCCCCACCATCGCCGCACCCGCGCGGAGCGCTCACGAGTAAATGGGCGGCGGACAGGAAGCGGAAGAAGGAAGCTTTGAAGAAGGTGCGACTGGCGATTAACGCACTGAGGGAGCGGCAGTGGCAGGCGGAGAGAAGACGATCGGAGCAGGAGGGGACATGGCAGGCGCAGGAGCAAGGGCAGGGGCAGGGAGGGAGGACGGTGGACAGTGGCACCAGCAGCAGCCTCAGCAGTAGTGGCAGCCACAGCGAGAGCAGCGGCAGCAGCAGTGATATGCGAGGGATGGTGGGCGAATGGATGGCTCGCCTTCAACAGTTGCAACAGACCTCCACTTCCCCCTCCCCCTCCTCGCCCCTGTCCTCGTCACCAGCACCACCACCCCCACCACCACCGCCATCAGCAGCAGTGGGCAGTAGTGTGGGGTCGACAGTAGGGGGTGTGGAGCCACTAGTGGGACCGCTTAGGCCACAGAGCAACGACGAGGTGAGGGGCGTGTGACTGAATGGCGTGTGACTGTATGGCATGCACTGATTTAGTCCAGTTTTCCCTACTCTGCTCTCCCTTCACCCCCCCTGCGCCTCTCACCGCGCCAGGTATCTCTGGCGTTGCGTCCCATGCGCCCTGACTTTTGAGACGTCTCAAAAGTTATCTCTGATCTCCCCCACTTTGCTTTTCCCGTTGTTTTCCTCCACTCGTCCTTCCCCCTGTCCCCCACGCCCGCCAGGCGTCACTGGCGTCACTGCTGGCGCGATCAGACCTCGTGGTCACTCGCAGGGTGGAGGTTTGAGACGTCTCAAAGCTCTGCCTCCCCCACTCCACTCTCCCCTCCCCTTGCCTGTCCCCCGCCTCCCCCTCCCCCTGTCCCCCTCGCCCACCAGGCGTCACTGGCGTCACTGCTGGCGCGATCAGACCTCGTGGTCACTCGCAGGGTGGAGTGGGGCAACGTGCTGCTGGGGTACGAGCAGGTGCAGTGCGGTGCCCATGGGTCCACTGGTGCTCCCATGTCCAGAGAACCGTTGTTCCGCACCGCACACGTAGTTTGCTTCTCCTCATGCTTCTCCTCATGCTTCTCCTCATGCTTCTCCTCATGCTCCTCGTCATGCTCCTCGTCATTATTGCATCCACAATTCTTCCTCCTCCACCGTTCACCCTCCACACACTTCCCCTCCCTCGGCACCCCCTCACTCCCGTTCCTCACGTGCTCTCTCCTTCCCGTGGCCCCCCTCGCCCTCCATCGCCCACAGAGCAACCAATATGCTATAGTGGATGCGCACACAGGCGAGGTCAGTGCAACACTGCGTACCCCTGCAATCCTGTGTGCTCCCTCCTCACTCACCCCTGCAATCCTGTGTGCTCCCTCCTCTCTCACTTCTGCAATCCTGTGTGCTCCCTCCTCACTTACTTTCTGCCCACGTGGCCTTTACCCGCACCCCCCGCTGGGCTCACGTGCACCCGAGTTTCTACTTGTTGAGCTGCATTGTACCCTCCCAGCCCGTTCCACACCCCTCCTACCGGCACGGCACCTCACCTCTCACGCGTTCCCGTCTCTCCTGCTCCCTGCCGTGCCTCATTGCCCACCTTGCCCCATCCTGTCCCACTCTGCCACGCCGCAGCACGTGGGGTCCATTGTGGAGAGCAGCAACTGGCTCATGCGACAGGTGTGAAGGGGGTGGGTGCAAGGGGGTGGGTGCAATGGGATGGGTGCAAGGGGATGGGTGCGAAGTGGTGGGTGGTTGCAAGGAGGGACACAGTGAAAGTAGGGAGGCCACATCCACCCTGGCTGGGATGTTGTTCGTTTTCCAGTTCCCCTCTTGTCTTGCTTCGTTCCCACCCTCCTGCCTGCATCAAGTTCCCCCCACCTCCCGATCCACAAGCTCCCTCTCCGTCCGTTTCCCTCCCTTCTTCTCCCCTCCTTCCTTTCTCCCCCACCGTCCTCTCCCCTCGGCAGTTCCTGAGAGCGCAACGCCCCTTCTCCGCATCCATCCACGATGCACATTTGACGCGCCTCAAAACTCCTCTCTTTCCTCTCCCCCACCGTCCCCCCCCCCCCCCCAGTTCCTGAGGGCGCATCGGCCCTTCACAGCATCCATCCACGACGCACACGGCACGCTCCTGCTCACCGTGGGTATCACACTCATTCCTGCTCACCGTGGGTATCACACTCATTCCTGCTCACCGTGGGTATCACACTCATTCCTCAGCCCGCTCAAATCCGTTTCATAGTGCCAATTGCACCATCACGCGCCCCGGCGCCTGCGCCTGGAGCTGCAGATTCTCCTGCGTCTGGAGCTGCAGATTCTCCTGCGTCTGGAGCTGCAGATTCTCCTGCGTCTGGAGCTGCAGATTCTCCTGCGCCTGGAGCTGCAGATTCTCCTGCGCCTGGAGCTGCAGATTCTCCTGCGCCTGGAGCTGCTGCCCTGCGACCTCCCCCCCCGCACCCTCCTCGTGTCGCACTTCGGGAATTTCTACATTCCCCACCACCCACACACGCCTCCACCATCTCCCACTTCAGCCACGAGCTTCAAATCCTCCCGCGTCTGAAGCTGCTCCCCAGCGACCTCTCTTCGCGCACCCTGGTGTCACATGTGAATGAGGCCGCCCGGTCACCATGACGCGCCCCTTCACCATGACGCGCCCGGTCACCATGACACGCCCGGTCACCATGACGCGCCCGGTCACCATGACGCGCCCGGTCACCATGACGCGCCCCTTCACCATGACGCGCCCCTTCACCATGACGCGCCCCTTCACCATGACGCGCCCGGGCACCGTGACGCGCGTCCCTAATGCGCCCTCCCCCTCTGCCACCCTTGCCCCCCATATTTGTCCCTCCCCCATCTGCTGCGTCAGGTGCGGCGGCCCATGTTTCTCATTACCAGCACTATCTATGTGGATCTGCCTGGTCAGGTGAGTGCTCAGGTGGACTCACGTCTGTCAATTCTCTGGTGGATTCAGGGTAGGTCAGAGGTGCGTTCAGGTGGGAGCTCAGGTGGATTCAGGTAGGGGCATCGTTTTAACCAAAACCAGCTCCATTAATAGTGCAACCATATATTCTGTCCCTATTATGCCACGTTTGCCCTGCCATGCCACGTGTAACCCCTCCATACTGTGTGTGGCATTGAATTCGCATCTGTCAACAGGTGTGTGCTCCCGGCCTTGGCTTACGTGCTCTTTCTATCCCCACCTAATGGGCATGTGTGCATGTGCTTGCATGTCTTTGTGTGTGTGCCTGTGTGTGCATGCCAACTCGTGCACGTACACGTACATGCATGCATCACCCCCTCACCATGCCAGAAGGGCATAGGGCAGGTGCACAGGAGGTGGCACCTGTGGAAGCGAGTCTACGATGCGTACCTGCAGTGAGTTCCTATGCTTGCTTCCTCTCCTCCTAGTTCTGACAAGCGTCTCGTGTTGAGTGCGCTTGTTGGTCCCATTGGGATACTCGAATCACATTGGGATAGTCAGATCCCATTGGGATACTTGCATCACTTCACCCATCTACACACATTGCCTCTTCGCTGCACTTTCTGTTTCATCATGGTGTCCGACGAGCGTGCCATGGTGACCGGGCGCACCATGGGAACTGGAGCTGCAGTCCAAGCAGCGGGACTGGAGCTGCAGTCCCAGCAGCGGGACTGGAGCTGCAGTCCCAGCAGCGGGACTGGAGCTGCAGTCCCAGCAGCGGGACTGGAGCTGCAGTCCCAGCAGCGGGACTGGAGCTGCAGTCCCAGCAGCGGGACTGGAGCTGCAGTCCCAGCAGCGGGACTGGAGCTGCAGTCCCAGCAGCGGGACTGGAGCTGCAGTCCCAGCAGCGGGACTGGAGCTGCAGTCCCAGCAGCGGGACTGGAGCTGCAGTCCCAGAAGCGGGACTGGAGCTGCAGTCCCAGCAGCGGGACTGGAGCTGCAGTCCCAGCAGCGGGACTGGAGCTGCAGTCCCAGCTGCGGGACTGGAGCTGCAGTCCCAGCAGCGGGACTGGAGCTGCAGTCCCAGCAGCGGGACTGGAGCTGCAGTCCCAGCAGCGGGACTGGAGCTGCAGTCCCAGCAGCGGGACTGGAGCTGCAGTCCCAGCAGCGGGACTGGAGCTGCAGACCCAGCAGCGGGACTGGAGCTGCAGTCCCAGCAGCGGGACTGGAGCTGCAGTCCCAGCAGCGGGACTGGAGCTGCAGTCCCAGCAGCGGGACTGGAGCTGCAGTCCCAGCAGCGGGACTGGAGCTGCAGTCCCAGCAGCGGGACTGGAGCTGCAGTCCCAGCAGCGGGACTGGAGCTGCAGTCCCAGCAGCGGGACTGGAGCTGCAGTCCCAGCAGCGGGACTGGAGCTGCAGTCCCAGCTGCGGGACTGGAGCTGCAGTCCCAGCAGCGGGACTGGAGCTGCAGTCCCAGCAGCGGGACTGGAGCTGCAGTCCCAGCAGCGGGACTGGAGCTGCAGTCCCAGCAGCGGGACTGGAGCTGCAGTCCCAGCAGCGGGACTGGAGCTGCAGACCCAGCAGCGGGACTGGAGCTGCAGTCCCAGCAGCGGGACTGGAGCTGCAGTCCCAGCAGCGGGACTGGAGCTGCAGTCCCAGCAGCGGGACTGGAGCTGCAGTCCCAGCAGCGGGACTGGAGCTGCAGTCCCAGCAGCGGGACTGGAGCTGCAGTCCCAGCAGCGGGACTGGAGCTGCAGTCCCAGCAGCGGGACTGGAGCTGCAGTCCCAGCAGCGGGACTGGAGCTGCAGTCCCAGCAGCGGGACTGGAGCTGCAGTCCCAGCAGCGGGACTGGAGCTGCAGTCCCAGCAGCGGGACTGGAGCTGCAGTCCCAGCTGCGGGACTGGAGCTGCAGTCCCAGCAGCGGGACTGGAGCTGCAGTCCCAGCAGCGGGACTGGAGCTGCAGTCCCAGCAGCGGGACTGGAGCTGCAGTCCCAGCAGCGGGACTGGAGCTGCAGTCCCAGCAGCGGGACTGGAGCTGCAGTCCCAGCAGCGGGACTGGAGCTGCAGTCCCAGCAGCGGGACTGGAGCTGCAGTCCCAGCAGCGGGACTGGAGCTGCAGTCCCAGCAGCGGGACTGGAGCTGCAGTCCCAGCAGCGGGACTGGAGCTGCAGTCCCAGCTGCGGGACTGGAGCTGCAGTCCCAGCAGCGGGACTGGAGCTGCAGTCCCAGCAGCGGGACTGGAGCTGCAGTCCCAGCAGCGGGACTGGAGCTGCAGTCCCAGCAGCGGGACTGGAGCTGCAGTCCCAGCAGCGGGACTGGAGCTGCAGTCCCAGCAGCGGGACTGGAGCTGCAGTCCCAGCAGCGGGACTGGAGCTGCAGTCCCAGCAGCGGGACTGGAGCTGCAGTCCCAGCAGCGGGACTGGAGCTGCAGTCCCAGCAGCGGGACTGGAGCTGCAGTCCCAGCAGCGGGACTGGAGCTGCAGTCCCAGCAGCGGGACTGGAGCTGCAGTCCCAGCAGCGGGACTGGAGCTGCAGTCCCAGCAGCGGGACTGGAGCTGCAGTCCCAGCAGCGGGACTGGAGCTGCAGTCCCAGCAGCGGGACTGGAGCTGCAGTCCCAGCAGCGGGACTGGAGCTGCAGTCCCAGCAGCGGGACTGGAGCTGCAGTCCCAGCTGCGGGACTGGAGCTGCAGTCCCAGCAGCGGGACTGGAGCTGCAGTCCCAGCAGCGGGACTGGAGCTGCAGTCCCAGCAGCGGGACTGGAGCTGCAGTCCCAGCAGCGGGACTGGAGCTGCAGTCCCAGCAGCGGGACTGGAGCTGCAGTCCCAGCAGCGGGACTGGAGCTGCAGTCCCAGCAGCGGGACTGGAGCTGCAGTCCCAGCAGCGGGACTGGAGCTGCAGTCCCAGCAGCGGGACTGGAGCTGCAGTCCCAGCAGCGGGACTGGAGCTGCAGTCCCAGCAGCGGGACTGGAGCTGCAGACCCAGCAGCGGGACTGGAGCTGCAGTCCCAGCAGCGGGACTGGAGCTGCAGTCCCAGCAGCGGGACTGGAGCTGCAGTCCCAGCAGCGGGACTGGAGCTGCAGTCCCAGCAGCGGGACTGGAGCTGCAGTCCCAGCAGCGGGACTGGAGCTGCAGTCCCAGCAGCGGGACTGGAGCTGCAGTCCCAGCAGCGGGACTGGAGCTGCAGTCCCAGCAGCGGGACTGGAGCTGCAGTCCCAGCTGCGGGGCTGGAGCTGCAGTCCCAGCAGCGGGACTGGAGCTGCAGTCCCAGCAGCGGGACTGGAGCTGCAGTCCCAGCAGCGGGACTGGAGCTGCAGTCCCAGCAGCGGGACTGGAGCTGCAGTCCCAGCAGCGGGACTGGAGCTGCAGTCCCAGCAGCGGGACTGGAGCTGCAGTCCCAGCAGCGGGACTGGAGCTGCAGTCCCAGCAGCGGGACTGGAGCTGCAGTCCCAGCAGCGGGACTGGAGCTGCAGTCCCAGCAGCGGGACTGGAGCTGCAGTCCCAGCAGCGGGACTGGAGCTGCAGTCCCAGCAGCGGGACTGGAGCTGCAGTCCCAGCAGCGGGACTGGAGCTGCAGTCCCAGCAGCGGGACTGGAGCTGCAGTCCCAGCAGCGGGACTGGAGCTGCAGTCCCAGCAGCGGGACTGGAGCTGCAGTCCCAGCAGCGGGACTGGAGCTGCAGTCCCAGCAGCGGGACTGGAGCTGCAGTCCCAGCAGCGGGACTGGAGCTGCAGTCCCAGCAGCGGGACTGGAGCTGCAGTCCCAGCAGCGGGACTGGAGCTGCAGTCCCAGCTGCGGGACTGGAGCTGCAGTCCCAGCAGCGGGACTGGAGCTGCAGTCCCAGCAGCGGGACTGGAGCTGCAGTCCCAGCAGCGGGACTGGAGCTGCAGTCCCAGCAGCGGGACTGGAGCTGCAGTCCCAGCAGCGGGACTGGAGCTGCAGTCCCAGCAGCGGGACTGGAGCTGCAGTCCCAGCAGCGGGACTGGAGCTGCAGTCCCAGCAGCGGGACTGGAGCTGCAGACCCAGCAGCGGGACTGGAGCTGCAGTCCCAGCAGCGGGACTGGAGCTGCAGTCCCAGCAGCGGGACTGGAGCTGCAGTCCCAGCAGCGGGACTGGAGCTGCAGTCCCAGCAGCGGGACTGGAGCTGCAGTCCCAGCAGCGGGACTGGAGCTGCAGTCCCAGCAGCGGGACTGGAGCTGCAGTCCCAGCAGCGGGACTGGAGTTGCAGTCCCAGCAGCGGGACTGGAGCTGCAGACCCAGCAGCGGGACTGGAGCTGCAGTCCCAGCAGCGGGACTGGAGCTGCAGTCCCAGCAGCGGGACTGGAGCTGCAGTCCCAGCAGCGGGACTGGAGCTGCAGTCCCAGCAGCGGGACTGGAGCTGCAGTCCCAGCAGCGGGACTGGAGCTGCAGTCCCAGCAGCGGGACTGGAGCTGCAGTCCCAGCTGCGGGACTGGAGCTGCAGTCCCAGCAGCGGGACTGGAGCTGCAGTCTTAGCAGCGGGACTGGAGCTGCAGACCCAGCAGCGGGACTGGAGCTGCAGTCCCAGCAGCGGGACTGGAGCTGCAGTCCCAGCAGCGGGACTGGAGCTGCAGACCCAGCAGCGGGACTGGAGCCGCAGTCCCAGCAGCGGGACTGGAGCTGCAGTCCCAGCAGCGGGACTGGAGCTGCAGTCCCAGCAGCGGGACTGGAGCTGCAGTCCCAGCAGCGGGACTGGAGCTGCAGTCCCAGCTGCGGGACTGGAGCTGCAGTCCCAGCAGCGGGACTGGAGCTGCAGTCCCAGCAGCGGGACTGGAGCTGCAGTCCCAGCAGCGGGACTGGAGCTGCAGTCCCAGCAGCGGGACTGGAGCTGCAGTCCCAGCAGCGGGACTGGAGCTGCAGTCCCAGCAGCGGGACTGGAGCTGCAGACCCAGCAGCGGGACTGGAGCTGCAGACCCAGCAGCGGGACTGGAGCTGCAGTCCCAGCAGCGGGACTGGAGCTGCAGTCCCAGCAGCGGGACTGGAGCTGCAGTCCCAGCTGCGGGACTGGAGCTGCAGTCCCAGCAGCGGGACTGGAGCTGCAGTCCCAGCAGCGGGACTGGGGACTGGAGCTGCAGTCCCAGCAGCGGGACTGGGGACTGGAGTTGCAGTCCCAGCAGCGGGACTGGAGCTGCAGACCCAGCAGCGGGACTGGAGCTGCAGTCCCAGCAGCGGGACTGGAGCTGCAGTCCCAGCAGCGGGACTGGAGCTGCAGTCCCAGCAGCGGGACTGGAGCTGCAGTCCCAGCAGCGGGACTGGAGCTGCAGTCCCAGCAGCGGGACTGGAGCTGCAGTCCCAGCAGCGGGACTGGAGCTGCAGTCCCAGCTGCGGGACTGGAGCTGCAGTCCCAGCAGCGGGACTGGAGCTGCAGTCTTAGCAGCGGGACTGGAGCTGCAGACCCAGCAGCGGGACTGGAGCTGCAGTCCCAGCAGCGGGACTGG